TCTCAGTCATTATTTAAATATGCCGTTTGATAATTAAAGTATTTATTATATTTAAATCACTCATTATTGGTGATTATTTAGGATATTTAAATTTTCGAAATGAACTCTATTATAAGAATATAATTGTGGAATTTATGTACTTCTCGTACTATATATGAGAGAATCTACAAATTGTACAACGTGGAGAAGGTTTATCAATTGAAATAAATAACAATAATATTTTTATTAATTTGTTTATTCGTGTTTCTTCCTCTTAATTGTTACGGAACTTTTACGATTTTAAACAGTTTTAAAAATTGAATTAGATCGATCGATTCGATTGAAAAATTGATTAGTCGAATCATAAACTAATCCAACTAATGTTGCAGGCAAAGTTTAAATTGTAATTTAAACAAGTCGAACACAATTTTTATTCATACATTCTATAAATCCACAACTTATTATCTATTTCACATTCATACATTACGGGTGTGTTTGGTACCCATTAAAATTTTCATTTTCATTATTCTACTCATTTTCAACCACACATTCTTCATTAAAATAATATTTTCTATCACATCAATAACTTTTCCTTCTTTTTCAACCACACATTCTCCATCAATCTACTATTCCAAAATACATTCTTCCAAAATAATATCCATCAAACACACCCTAAATATTCTATCTAATAGACTTTTTTTTTTTTTTTTGTCAAACTGTTATAATCAATTTAGGGTGTGTTTGGTACCCATTAAAATTTTCATTCTCATTCTTCTACTCATTTTCAACCACACATTCTTCATTAAAATAATATTTTCTATCACATCAATAACTTTTCCTTCTTTTTCAACCACACATTCTCCATCAATCTACTATTCCAAAATAATATCCGTCAAACACACCCGTACATATAACTCACTCCTTATAGGTTTAAATTATAATTTAAACCCTCCAAAACTGTTAAAGTTCTAAGAAACATACTATCTTCCAAATAATGAATTTCTAAATTACATTTCTAAATTACATTTCTCTGGTTCTTGTAACTAATAAATATTAAAAGTAAATATAACTGTTATTATCACCTTGTATTATGAATCTTCATTAAAGTTTTATCAAATGTTCGAACTTCAATTTTAACACATAGTTCATATTATTCCCAACTTTTATCAATTTTTTTAACTTATTGATATGATAAATAATATTCATGTCGATGGTCTACTTATTGAACCATTGACCGCATAGTTCAGTTCTATGATCGGTCGATGGTTATCAATCTCTCTTTAAATCACACGTGTCACGGGAAGGAAGAAATTTAATTAGAGACTTGACTCTTTTGAAGATCTATGTTGCCCTTCTCTTCTCTCTACTCTATGTACAACTTAAATTCTTAAATTATTCTCGGTAACTCGGTAGACAATAAGAGTTTTTTAAAAGTTTGTTTGACACACATTATTTATATAAATGGACTATATAATTTTTTTTTTAAAAAGAAAACTATTTTCATCATTCAATAATGTTTCAATTCATTGAATCAAACAAATACAACTTGTTGACCTCAAAAAGTGGCTCCGACACGTGGTCAACAGAACAAATCTTCTAGTCGGCTCCTCCCTGTACACATAGCACGCCGTTAGTCACCCGTGGCCTTTCCCGAAGGGGTTGGGAGCGGCCACAAGCACTCCAACGGTCAAATCAGTTTAAGGTTCAACCGGAAAAGGTTCACCGACGTAGGACACTCGCCGGGAAATGGTTGATAAAGTGTGTAGTGATAAAATGTCAATATTTAAGGGAGAGGATGATACTCAAATTTGCTATGTAGTAGGAGAAAATCTTAATTCGAATCATTCTTTGGCACAAGGAGGGAACATTTAAACTAAGGATGTGAATATGAGAGTCATTGGATGAAGAAACACGTGTTACCAGATCCTCAGGACTCGTCCCATCTTAGGTGTCAATATATCCCTCCATAGGTTGGCTAGCATTGAATGTCATTGACAAATGCAGCTGAATTGACCGTTTAGGTCCTGCCACACGTCTCCTCAGTTGAGGATTTGACTTTGGAAAGATCTTTGTACAAGAGATCTTTGGTGGGGCAAGGTGAGGCAGGTTAAGCGTTGCAGCTTGTAGAAGCGGAGTGCTGGCCTTTGCACCCGCGGTGTACCCGCAGATGAGTCTGATTCCTTTTCTGACGCGTGTTCAATCCATCCCTTGTAATCGCTTAGGCATGTGCAATCAGGTCGTCCCATGGGACAATCACCTCGGCAGACGCGTGGCGTGGTGTGGACCACCTCTGCTGACACGTGGCGGGTCGACACATGCCCGTAACACAACTCATTCGATATTAAGTTTTTTTTTTCTTTTTAAAGAAAATGTATGTGTAAGCTTAAATAACGAAATTGAACAAATATAAATCATTGGATATAATTTTTAATTTATTTCAAAGAGAATGTGTAGGCATAAAAAAATTACTTATAAACAATGAGTACTTAATAAAATAAATATTATTTTTTTTTGGTTCAAACACGAAACAAGTTATATTTTGTTGCTACTTTTAAAATAAATATTTTTTTTACTCAAGATATAAAAAGAATTTATCTAAATATATTTAGACAAAGAAATTACTTAAAAGAAATTTTTAATGATTTTTCTACTTAGTCACTGTTTGACAATAATTTAATATTAAATTGAGCCACACATTCAAAACTGCTATTTATTTATATTATCCACACATTTCGTGAAATTCACTGTTATTTCTCTTATGAATTGATTAATAAGTTTGACAAACGGAGTCCTAGCCAAACTTGCTACTGAGGCCATAACCTATTTCTTTTATTGATTGAACGAATTAATTGGGGAAACAAATTAAAATAATTAACTTAATTATTAACCCTACAATATCTCTATAAAATATGTTTTATCTACGAAATTGTTGAATAACAATAGTTGGAGGACGAAATTGTAGCAACTCTAAAGTTAGAGGACAAAAATATTTATTTCAATAGATTGAGGACTTTCTAGTAGCTTTAATTAGTTGGAGCATTACAATAGTTAAAGGATAAAAATTTACCATCTGTATAATGGAAGACGTTCTTGATTTAGAATAGTTGGAGGACGATTATTTATCATCACAATAGTTGAAGGACCAAATTTTTCATGATTAGAGGACAAATATATATTTTCTATATTGTTGGGGGACTTAGTAGTAGCTTTTCAATAGCTGGAGGGCGAATTATCACATAACAATAGTTGAGGAGAAAAATTACTATCTGTATAATTGGAGGATGATTTTGTCTCGTTTCTGAAAAATGGGAGGACGACAATGTGTTGTCTACATAGTTGGAGCACTTAATAGTATCTTCTCCATAGTTGAAGGATGATAATAATTTGGACCATGAACAAAGTGCCACAATTAGCCCGTGTTTGGACTTCATTTTTTTTTAAATACATTTCCTCGTAACATATTTTTAACCACACATTTTCAAAAAAATCACTATTTCAAAATACACTTTTCCTCAAATATTCATTTTAATGGAGCCCAAACTAGACTTTGTGACTTGTAGGTGTCGCGTAACTCTACTCTCTATGCTCCTACAGAAATAAATAGTTGTAAGCGTGAGTAGACAAAGGGTTTTGAAAACGAGATTTTCAGTTTTGATTGTTTAGTTCACTACAATATAAAAGAGGCAAATGCTTAGCCATCACGTGTCGCAATTTCTCATCGTCGTACAAAATGCTTTTTTTCCCCTCACGCATCTCCTCCTCATCTTCACGCAACTCATCCCATCTTCCATTTTTACACACGCAATTAACTTCATCCATACCCCATCATTCAACAATCCACCAAAATCGATTCTTGGTATTCTTCGTCGATGAACTAAAAATCCATCCAATTCCGTTCCTTCACATTTACCGTAATATTTGGTGAGTACTCTAGAATTCCAATTTCTCTCTGCCAACTTTGATTTTGTTCCAATTTTAATTTCTTGTTAATTTTACTGATGTGATGATAGTATCAAGGAGACGGTGGAAGCTGCTGCAAAGCCGAGGATAGAGTTTGTAAAGAAGAAGCAAGGCCAAACATCATCATACTGTATTTTCCTTCTATTTGATTATTTTATAAATTTCACACATTATCATGAAAATGTATGCTCAACTGATATGTGGAGGTTGAATGCTGGCTCTAGAAGAAACTGTTAAAAAAAAAATTGTCTCCGTACTACACGGAGACACAGGTCCCTAATTTCTATTATCGCCTTTTGTTATTATTTTACTCTCTCTTCACTCATTTCTTACTGAATTTATTTTCCTATTTAATGGTTGATGTATAACCAGTGTGTATGTATCAGTCTTAATTAAAACTTGGAGGTTTGAGTCATAGATATTCTCTGTTCTTTGTGATCATGTATTTTTTTAGAAAAATTTTGGTTTATAACGAATTTGCCTATGAAAAATGAAAACTTCTTCGATTGAACACATCTCCATGCGCACACGGAGACATGTGCGCATGTAGGTGGGCCACGATGTCTCTGTGCGCACACAGAGACATGGCGTTCCGTTCGCGCAGGAAATGTTGCATCCATGCAACATGGAGACCGTGTCTCTGTGCCTTCATGCAGCATAGAGAACGCATCGTGTCTCCGTGCCACACTGAGATAGGTCTCCGTGTGCGCACGGAGACATGGTATCTCCATGCGCACACGGAGACCTAAGAAAAGCTAAATTTCAGGCATCCCCATTTGGGAAGCATCTGGATACGAAGTTACTAGATAAGACGGCAATTGAGACCCAAGATTCGACTACCAGGGCACAAGAGAGTTCAACTTCCTCTGGAAGTGACAGGGACCAAGCTGGTGATTTTGAATGCAATATTTGCTTTGATTTAGCACAAGACCCAATAATCACCCTCTATGGTCACCTATATTGTTGGCCATGCCTTACAGATGGCTACAACTTCATTCAAAATCTCATGAAAGGCCCTAATACAAGAAGAAAAGTTGATTCCTTTATATGGCAGAGGCAAGATGCCAAATGACCCAAGATCGAAATATGTTCCTGGCGTAGAAATCCCTAATCGACCAGCAGGGCAGAGACCTGCTACGGCTTCGCCTCCAGATGTGAGTAACTTTACTAACATAGTTTTGGGAATGTTGAATGGATTTGTACCAATGGTATCTGCAACATTTGGTAATTTTGGAATGTCTGCTGGTTTTGGTGGGGGTGTTTTCTCTTATTTTTAACGTCCAGCTTCATGGTTTTTCAAATGCAAGTGGATTTGGTGATACACCAAGGTATCAATTTGGAAATGCTGACTCTTTTCATGGTACTAGCGACCACGTTTGTAGAGAAACCGGTCAAGCTCACCAGGCAAATGACGGTTTGCATGCCGATAAAACTCTGAAGAAACTTTTGCTATTTATTTTTGTTCTTGCAGTGCTTGCTTTGTTTCTTTTGTAAATGAATTTTGCTTATAAACTCAATTTGTTTAGATCTCTGGAAATTGTAGTCTCGTCTCTTTTCTTGGTTTGAACTATTTTCCATGAAAAAAAGACCAAGTTCATTACGCTCGACTTTGGTTCATTTGTCCATGCCATATCTTTTTTACAATATTAGGACCCCCCTTGTCTCTCAATAATTTTTTGGAACGATCGACCTTTTGTGCACGGTGACAAGGATCGTGTCTCCGTGCAAAAATGGAGACACGGATCGTGTCTCCGTGGTGCACGGAGATACACCATGTCTCCGTTTTGTCTCCGTTCCCAACGGAGACATGGACCGTGTCTCCGTGCAAAACGGAGACGAGGTCCAACAATCTGCCGATATGTAAGTGTATGATAAATTATAATTATTTTGCCTATTTCTGTTTTTTGTCTTTTCTTTTTCTTGTATTCTGATATGTGTTTGGATTTTGTTTGTTTGTGTCTTGTGTTGGATAAATATTAAGGCCCCGTTCGGGAGGGATTAAAAGCCAATTAAAATTGAAAATATGACCGTTATTGGGTCTCACTCGTCTAATAAAAGTCAACAATAACGACCATATTTTCAATTTTAATCCGATTTTAATCCCTCCCATACAAGGCCTAAATCTTTTTTTGGTTATATAAGGAATTTGTGTTTAATTTCCTTTTCTTTATATTTATGTGGTTTTCGTTTTGGCTTTGAAACCTTTTTTTTTTTTGTGAATTTCTCCTTGTTCTGTTCTTTTTCTTTTGCTTCTATGTAGGTTTGGTTAATTGTGTGTTTTTTATCGTCTCTATTGGTTTAAATTGTATTTGCTTAATAATTGAGTAGTTTTGCTTTCAATTCAATTCAATTTTTTATTTTTATTTTTGGTCCTAACTTGGACATACGAGGAGACAGGAAGAAATTATAGAAAGTACATATATTCATAGAAATTTTCATGGTACTTGGCAACACCTAATGTTGATTCATCAATGAAATTAAGTCCTAAATAGCCACTTTCAGTGATATATTCTCTTGACATTTTTGCATTGGCAAAATGGAATCTGCTTACAGAACATGGCTCAGAGCAAGGAAAAAATGGGAGGCAGCTCAAAATTTAGATGAACGTAGTAGAGAACTTCAAATGGCTTTAGGCACTGCAAAATGGCAGGTTGATTCCCTCTTTCGTGTAACTGAGTTTTGTACTTCATTTTATCATTTCTGGTATCAATAATTCACTGGATATAGAAATAATGGACACTAAGTGAGTTGATTCTTGGTTTTGGCTTCAATCCTTCTTAAGTGAGAACACAAATCAAACACCAAAAATTTAAACATTAACTAAATGAATTACACGGATGATGTCTCCATTTTACACGAAGACACGGATCGTGTCTCTGTGTTGCACGGCGACACGGATCGTGATTGTCTCCGTTGTGCACGGTGACAAGGATCGTGTCTCCATGCACAATGGAGACACGAATCGTGTCTTGGTTTTTGCACAAAGCGTGTCTCCGTCCGTTAGGAACGGAGACACTTAATTGTACTTTCTCGTAAAAATTTACATGCAGGGGCCCCCCGTGCTGGGTCCGTTGGAAGCTTCAGTTGGCTCGCCGTCCGTCGGGAGAAAGAAGAAGCTGCCATGCTGTCTGCCTGTAAGTTCCTCTGTTTTTGCTCCCTTTCCTTTGGTTTTAATTGTCTAGGCCTTATTTAAAAAAAAAGGCCAATTAATGAGCCAAATCCTACAATCCACTAATCAAATAGAAAGTTCAATACCAATTTACCATTAGCATTTAGACACAGAGCCCACAACAATTACAAAACCAAATCCAATTCATTTTGGTAAGGAGGGAGACGGACGAGACGACTAAGGCGAAAAAAATTCCATTTTTTCTCGTCGGTCTAAGTGCGAAGTCTACGGACTTGAGGTCCTGTGGCAGTGTGGCTGTGAGTCTTTGAGTCGAGACAAGTAGTGCAATAGCTGGACTGGAGGCTGGTCTACTGCTTGCTGGAGCTTCGAGCCTTCCTCCCTATCTATCGGTCTGTGTTCTTACAGGTATTAGATCAAAAATCTTGACTTGCTATTTCTGTTTGCCTATTTCCTATTGGCTACTTAGCTTGCTAGTGCTTGTGTTGTTTGATGTTGCCTGTTGTCACTGCAGTTGTGTTGCCTGTATTTGTGTATTGTGGTTTGTGAATTGTGATTTGAGAATTTAGGGTTTTAGCCTTTTAGGAAATTAGGGATAAGTGAAAAAAAATTAATGGTGAAGATGCTTATAATTTTGAATTGATTTGTGTATTGTGAATTGTGATTTGGGAATTTAGGGTTTTAAGAAATTAGGGATAAGTGAAAAATTTCGACTATTACAACGGTCAACGATCAAAGGTCTCCGCTCTAACTGAACCAAAATGTTGGATTCGCCCCCGGGAACCTGTCAACTTAGAAAGCCACTAAGTTGTTAACCCCGGGTCAACGATAGCTGATTGTCGACGTTGACTGGTCATGTCTACCCCTGGCTGGACTTCGATACTGGGTCCACCACTGTTTACATATATTTATTTTCAACATTAAACAATTAATTAACGTGCAACATACGTTAACCACACTAATATAAGGAAAAAGTGTGATAATTTTGGGTTTAATTGGGAGGAGAGAGAGAATAATAGCGAATTTGACGAGAGAGAAATAATTAATTTTACAAAATGGAAATAATTTTCATATTAACTTACTCTCCTCCTTTTTTTTTTTCTTTTTTTTGAAGGTGGTATGATGGGAGGTACCAACCCTTGAATTCTTGAATATCATGATAAGTTGAATTGGTATATTATATCATGATAAGTTGAATTGGTATATTAATCTATGGATAATGGGCCTATTCCACATACCAATGACTGAGAAATATGTTTTAACAAATAATCACGATTCTTGATTTAATCTAAGAATCGTGCTTGGTGTACATTATATTTTACACCATTTTTTATATTATATCACGTGTCATTACACCATTAAATAGTTTTAAAATAAAATAATTTTTTATCCAATCAATTCTTCGCAAACATGGACGATGTCAAACATGATGTAAAGAAATTGATCTACAAATGACATTATAAAAAATAAAAAAATTAATTCTTTTCTCATTTGGGCTAAAATAAAATTCAAAGACTAAAAGGAGAAATTAAAAAAAAAAAAAAAATGATAAAATAAGCAATTTTAAAGATACCTTAAAAAGATCTTATTTTTGTACGTAACGTAATCTACCCATTTTCTCCCACAAAAAGTCAGAGATCTGGGTATCTCTCTTCTCTCTCTGCACGGTCTTGTCTAAAGGGGGTCCTAAAAATCTCCGCCTTAGTTTCTTGCCAATTGCCAGTAAGTCTCCGCCATTTCTGCTTCTTTTGATCCATACCCCTTGATTGTGCTATCTCATTTTTTTGTTCAATTTTTTTTCCTTACGATTTTGGCATTTTCCCTGCTTTCTTGATACCATCTTGTTCGATCTGTACGGATCTTTATCCTTGGATAATTATGGGTTGAATTTGGAGTGCTTTTTTTCTTTCTTTAATTTGTATTTCTTTCTGGTTACATTGAATTTACTGCATGTGAGTGCGATTCTAAGATGATTTGCCTAATTTACTACCATTTATGTGTGTTTGTGATGATTCGATTTGTTGATTTCTTATGCTGATGAATCTGAGACTTTCTAGTGTGTTTAGTGAATTATGTGTTTTTTTGCTATTGCTATTGCTATTGTTGTTATTGGGCTTCTTGGAGTAAAGATCAATTGATGCAAAATTAGGAAAACTGAATTTTGTAATGTGTTGTTCTTATGTTGCTGATTTAATCTGATTTTGACGGATGATTTTGTTCGTGTGAAAAAAATGAGTTATTTATGAATATTTTAATAGCAGTTTACCTGGATTGTTTTTGTTCATTAGTTACAGCTGTATTTCTTGGCAGGACGATTCAACTTGTTTCTTGAATGCATACTTACCTAATGTTTTTTGTTGCTACCTGATTCAGGGTTCGAGATTCTTTAAGAACTTTTTGCTGTAGAATTTATTGAAAAACATGGGTTTGGAGGTCTCTGAATCTAACTTGGCAGTTTCCGTGGAAACTGGAAATGAAGAGAAGATTTCTGTGGAAAATGATAACAAGATGGACATAAAATTTGGTTCACATGGTATGGATGAGCCAGCCAAAGAAGATGGAAAAAATGTTTCTGAGGCCAACCTCCCGAACAATGCAGCTGATGAGTGGCCTGAACCCAGTCAGATCCACTCTTACTATATTGTTAAGTATAGGTCTTTTGAAGACCAGAATCTGAGGGGCAAACTGGAACTGGCAGAGAAAGAGTTACAGAAAAAGAATCAAGCCCGATTCCAGATCACTGAAAAATTGAGGGAGAAAAGGGTAAATTATGCAGTACTTTATACTTTTGGGTAGTTCATACTTGTGCAATTGTGTCTTTTGAAATAAAAGCTGGCTTGTGGTCAATTGGTATGATTTGGGACAGGAACTACTCACACCCACACCTGTAACTGTAAAGAACTCTTAATATATCTTAACTGTTGACCATATTGCTCATTGGGCAGGCTGTATTGAGATCACTAAATCAGGAAAATGCTCAAGAAAATAGAGAAGGGAAGCTATATTTTCTTGGAAGTTTAACAAGATAATCGTGCAAAGATAAATTTGCACGACATATTTCTTATAAAATGTGAAGTACACCCAGTTACAAAGATAGGGCTGTAAATATTATCAAGTGTTTTTATTCTTAAGACTAATGTGAGTTATTATGTCTATTAGCCAATCATGTAAGTATTCCTTTTTCTTTTGGTACGAGGGGGTGGGGGTGGGGTGCTGGTTTTACTTATTTCTATTAATAAATATTCCCTCCGCCTTTGTGATTTTTCTAATGCACTTTGATGATCTGTTTCTAAAGTGGAAGTACTTTTGTGACAAGTTGAAATTAACATTTTATTTTTATTTTGTTTACCCACCAAAACAGTTTGGCATTTCATGCTTGCAAAAACAAACCCATATCAGTCCTTCACGGACCATAAGGATCATGATGAAATTGAGAAGTTTTCCTTGCCCTATATTAGAAAATAGATTCAATTTCAGAACTTTAACTTCTCAAGGGCCCAAATGTCGACTAGAAAACTTAAAAATCAGATACCAGCAGATTTGTTAATAAATATCCTTTGGAAGTTGTCTGAAAGGGCACTTTATGCGTGATGACCCCAAACACTTGCAATGAGGGACGTTTTAATATGTCTAAGTTGAGTGCTCATAAAGAAGCTATGCAAAAGTAAGCTTGATAAAGGTATTTCTTATATTTTGTCGTGAAAAGTATACATTCTTTTGTTTTTTTCCTTTTTCGTCAAAGGGATATGTTATGGTGGAATTTAAAACCTATGAGATATAGATGGATATAAGATAGCCCACTTTTTATCATTTCTTCTGTGTCATTTTTGTCTTATTTCCTTACATGGCCTGTACTGATTCGGATTGGAAACTGTTATAAGGAGAGAATACCGAATCACATGGAGTATGTTTTGCAGGCAGTTCGGGCCCAGGTAATTTCTGAGATAAGGTCTCTAAGTGTCGAGAATAAACAGTTTAGGTCGATCATGGATGAGAAGAGAAAAGAAATGGAACCTCTGCAGCATGCTCTTGGCAAGTTGCGAGGTGCTCCTAATGGAGGCAGAGAGAGGGGTTCGATGATATGTTCTTCTGAGGAAGAACTCAATGATCTTGTAAGTTTTTGTTTATGAGTGTATAATGTTTGAAGTGCTTTCCACTCTAGTTATTACTTTCATATAACACTTCAAGCTAATATGTCTCTCCGTTGAACTTAATTAGATCAAAAGTTTACAATGTCGTATTCAGCATGAAAGCATTCCTCTCAGTGAAGAGAAGCAAATCCTTAGGGAAATTAAACAACTTGAAGGGACAAGGGACAAGGTACTTGCAAATGCTGCTGAGAGGGCAAGGATTCAGGATGCATTGGGGGAAAAAGAAGTGATTCAGGACCAAGTCAAAGTAAGATACTGTATATGTAAAACTTCATGTAGTTTGGTACCTATTTTTATAGCATTGCTAGCTGACTTTAGCGTGCATTAGCCAGTAGCTGTATGCTTATAACTATCTTATTGTAGCTTATTGGTGTTGATCTTGATGGAGTTCGAAAGGAAAAACAAGCGGTCAATGCGAAGCTTAAGCAGCTTGATGATGAAAAAGCATCTATAGACAAAGACATAAATGATTTACAGGAGGAATTGACAGCAATTACAGAGAAGAGAGACAAAACTTTTGAAACCATTCAGGAAATGAGGAAACAGCGTGAACAGGCGGTATGCTTTTTTTCATCTTTAATAATGATGATCCTGATTAAACTCTATTATACCTGTTTGTTTTGCTATTTATAGCATTGTATGATTCTTTGATATAAAGAAATCACTAGAAGGGTATGTTGCAGCCATTTTGAAAGAATTAAGAAGCGACAAAGTAATGTCTAAACCCGATGATTTAAAACAAAGATAAAGGATTCCAAAACAAGGAAATACAATTTTAATTGTCTCCATAGTCTCAATAATTGGATTAGACTGAAGAATCAATATAAATTTTTAAGCACTGCCACAAATAACTTTAATATTAAAACAATAATTAACATATTAATGTTATCATATAAATAGAAAAACTGAACAAGTAGAGTACATATTTGAATCAAGATTTTTATTTATCTACTGTATAGAACACAATATGATTCCATATTTTTCTTACTCGACAAGAAAATTCTTGAACCAAATTTAGACCGTTTGAAATTTTAAAGCAACAACAATCCAGGGATTTGGACCAAAACCCTATTAGTCTCTTTAGTATCACGTTTGGTGACTTGGGGAAGATTAAAATAAATGTTAGGCTTATTGATCATTTTTGAAACAAGAATATAAAATTAATGGATAAGAGAAATTTATAGGGGAAAACTAATGCACGAAGTACATTCGGATTTAACAATATAACGTCATAACGAGATAAAGAAGAGTCCGATATTACATAGAATTAAGAAAAAGTAATTCGAGGTGGAGACCCCATTCTTCGTCACTCTGGCCCATCCCTACGCAGGAAAGACTTTCTGTTCGGTACCCGCCCTGATTTCACAAAATCATTCTCCAATGATTAGTTTCTTGATTTTTGGCACCAGAATTTTCGATTCTCAAGTTCTATACGACGATGCAAGTCAGGGCCGGACCTGAGGAGAGGCCCAAGAGGCCTCTGCCTCAAGACAGGCTTTTTTAGGGGCCCATATTTCTCTTTTTTTTTAATAACCTAAAACTTCGTCTTCACTTACGAGAGACGATTCCAGACGACGGAAGAACAGCAATGCTGCAGTGGAAACTGGAACTGGTAGTCGGCAGATATATTTCCTTGACTCGAGCTCCAGTTGGTTTAATTTACACGCATATAATGCTTTTTGTTGCGATTTCTTGTCGAATATTTTATTGAACTTGTAAATTTTCATCTTGAGTTGCACAAGCCAAGCTTCGTATTTTTGCAACCCAATAACATCCGTTGTTGAGCAATTTAATCCCCACCATAAGTCTTCAAATATGCAATTATTCCTCTTAAAGATGGGATTTTGGAATTAATAGCAGAAAAATGAACATTTAATTTTTCATCTTGCGTCGCACAAGCACAAGCTTCGTATTTTTGTAACCGAATACTATCCATTGTTGAGCAATCTAAGCCCCACTATAAGTCTTCAAATATGCAATTATTCCTCTTAAAGATGGGATTTTGGAATTAATAGCAAATGTTAAAAATTGGTGCTCCAAACTTCAAATTTCGGGCTTAGTCACAACCAATCGACACCACACTCAACAAACTAAATCCTAAACCAGAAATCCCAATCCCGATTGCTCCAAGGTGCCCACAAAGGGGAAAGAGTGTGAAGACTTTAGCCCTCAAATGACAGCCACAAAGGCTAGAGAAGAAGGAAGAAAGAAGGTATATACAAGCACAAAGCCAATACCAAAAAGCACAAAGCAAAGGGAAGCTGCCTTCTCTCAAACACATGGCTACTAATTTTCACACACTGAGCACAACAGTAATGGGGCAACATATATATAGTATAGGTGTGGGCTTTTAGGTTAAGGAATAGTAAGGCCCAATAGGTAACAATAAATGGACTGCCAACACTAAAGCCGTCCAAAGTAATGAGTTGGGTCATGAGTAACACTAACACAATTAAGTTACTTCAAATGGCCCAAGTAGGTTATAGGATCTGTCTGAATCATTGTGGTGTCGATATTTCACTTCACTCATCGGCCGAGGCCTGTGAAGTATAATCTATAAAACCGATTTAATATCATCGCTCGAATTTATTGGGTATCAAAAACCCAACAGCAAAAAATTGAACATTGATTTTAGGGAAGTCTACATAAATCCTGGTTTTACTTATACACATTTCAAAATTAAGGTATGATGTTTTAAATTTCAAAAATCAGGTTTTTATTTAAATTTATTTATGAATTACTTAATTAATTATATATTTTATTAATAAATATATAACGGTCTATAGTCTTAATAACTGGATCAGACCAAAGAATCCAAATAGAATTTTAGACTAGACAAACAATGTGCGGGTACAGACCACTCAATAATGAAATTGATTAAAGATTTGAACTGTTGCTAGTTGTTTTTTATTGTTTAAATTCTATGAATTACTTACACTTAGCTGTACTAGAAGCAATTTTATAACAGTATCTATTGTGTATATGGCGAAATCTCCAAACTCTTTTTGAGGCAACCTTTATTTCACTATAGAATTGGAATTGCTCAACAATTGGTCAGAATGTTAGTTGATTGTCTTGTCTTGCGTCTCTTTGTTTTTATGATGTTTATTTTCTGTGATTTCTGACTCTTTGATTAGATGAAACTAGAGGTGTCAAAAAGGGGTTATACCCCATCTGGATTGGTGAACCATGGACCTGGCTATCTAACTGCCACTGCCGCTTTTTTTTTTNTTTTTTTTTTTTTTTTTAAGAAAATTAAACAGGAAAAAAAAATTAAATAAACTGATGGATGTGGAGCGGTGGAGGTCCGGCCAGGCAAAGCAGACTGGATCTCTGCAAAGGCTGCCCGTCCCATTTACATTTCTAGATGATACTCAAATCCAGGGACAGTCCCATACATTTATGTGAAATCTGGGCGATGGATCTGCCGTCACAAGTTGACAGTATATAAAACCGTTAATAACCAAACTATCGTAACCAAATAAAATTCAAAGACACCCGACACTTTTAAGTACAGGGAAGTCTGCTGGTAGAAATTTTTCAGGATGTACTATGGTTTTTCACCGAGGGGGTGGGTCACCATTCGGTTTCAAGGACTAGTTTTCTTACTTGAAAACAAAAAGATTTCAGGAAATGAGTACAATTTTTAGCCCCACTCCATGGAGAATATAAAAAGGCAAACTACTTGAGACAATATCAGTCATTTTTGGTGACATTCCATGTATATATTTGTATCTTATGTTTTCTCGAAGAGTAGAAAATGGACCGTTTAAGTCATGTCTAGGCCAAGCAATTCCAGTGACGAGATGCTTTCTCATGGATAGACAGCACTAGTTTGTCAATATTCACGGTCTTGTGTTCTACTTTTTATTTTTTTGGTTTTGTGCTTAACTAGGGACCAAATGCCTAATTTTGGTTATCTGCCTCTTGTTTGGTTTGCACTGTGTTAAAATGTCATTGCATGCCTTTTTGTCAATTTATAACACGTACAGGAGTAGGAGAATATGTAGAACGAAATGTCTTTACAGAAGTTCGGAGCAAATTTAAGCAGTTTCTGTTAGCCAATTTATACTTAAAAGGAATACTGCAGTTAATCAAACAGCATTGCCTTACACAGTTACACTTGTTCATTATTTTTCCACGTATCTGAAATATTTTCTGAGCTTTGTGAAATTCAAGCCACGAAATATTTCTTATTGCCAAATGTAGAGGGAAGACAGTTTGCATATTAGGTCTTCACAAATGAGTATTTTGACTTGCAGAATGCCCACTACTACCAAAACCGTACACTTTTGAACAAAGCTAAAGAACTTGCAGCAAAGAAGGATGTTGAAGCCCTGAACGAGCTCTCACATACAGAGGTTTGACAATTAATTTTCTGCCTTGAGTTCAAATAGCCCTGGTAGTTTCACTTAGTTGTCTTAACATTTGTCTTCCGCTTCCGACTACCAGGTCGAGAAATTCATTTCCCTCTGCAGTAGTAACAAGGCATTCAGGGATGACTACAAGAGGAGAGTGTTGCCATCACTCGACATGAGGCAATTGAGTTCCGATGGTCGGATGAGGAATCTAGATGAGAAGCCACTTGTGGCAGTTGAGGCACCTACTCAATCTGAGACTCAGATGATTGTGAAATCAAACGTGAAACAACCTGCTAAGGAGGATTCCATTCCTGTGGCACAACATGATACTTCTTTGCAGAAAGATCAAAAGGAAAAGAATGCTCGAAATAAGAAAGAAGCAAATAAGAAAACCGACAGCATCTTGGACAAGATTGAAAGTGAAGACAGAGATGTCTCTGGGATACATCAATTGCAAAAGGATGATCCTCCTAAAGTTGATGAGATGAAATTGAAGGAGATGAAGCGAGAGGAAGAGATTGCCAAGGCTAAGCAGGCAATGGAAAGAAAGAAGAAGTTAGCTGAGAAAGCTGCTGCCAGATCAGCAATAAAAGCTCAGAAGGAAGCCGAGAAGAAGCTTAAGGAAATTATTGCTTTATTCAACTTTTCTTTTTAACATTGTCTTATGACCTTAAATCTTAAAAGTTTATTTGGCTCGTAATATATTGCAGGACCGCGAAAAACGAGAGAGAAAGAAGGCTGGGGCTGTTGTCTCTCAGGATTCCGAGGAACCAACTGAAGCAGTTGCAGAAGTTGCTGAACCAGAGAAGACGGAGGAAAAGGTTGAAACTCCTGTCCTGCCAAAGAGCAAGGGATGGAAAGAAAATACCCCTAGGCATAGAGCGCGCCCGAGAGGTCCAGATTCACTTCCAAAGGTTATACTCAAACGCAAGAAGACAATTAACTATTGGCTATGGGCCGTCCCTGCTGTTTTGGTGGTTCTTGTACTTCTTGCATTTAGTTACATCTATCTTATCCAAGATAGTAAAGTAGAGTAGAATGATGGTGGATGAACCTTCTGTCTTGACCCTGGTACCGGACTTATATATTAGTAAGCATAAATTCTGTTTACTATAAAGAGGACTTTACTCGAAAACTTGTAATGTTGGTCGAATAGGTTGTTGGCTGCAGAGCAACCGTGTTTTTGGGGACTTATATTGTGAAATTTTGACTCTTGATAAATGTGATTGAATTCTTTGCTTCTTCCCAAACTGATATAAATGGGACCAAATTGGTTTGATGCAGGTGCATTGCATATGATGTAGTTTAGATCAAAATAATAGTGCAGGTAACGTGGCTTCAATATATTTTCTATTCTCTGATTTGTATTTATGAACAATTTGAAAATAATGTGGCGGTCGGGGGCATGTGGCGTTGCAAATCTCCGTTCAACACGTTACTAATTGGATTGATGTAGTGTTGTTGTACATGTTATAAGAATTAATTATGTTATGGAATTGAACCGAACGGAATCCGGTTCGGTTTCATAATTAAATTTTGAACCGAATGTTCCATTTATTAAAGACTCGAAATTTTACGAGAACTTCATGGGGAGTTTCAATTCTGGTGTGAACTCAATTCCTCAATTCAACCGAGCATCAGAATGTTCATTCTGTCCTCAGCCATCTGATGGGGGCGGCCTGCATTGCGCAAGGAAAGAGATGAAACCACACCAGGAAAAGTAGCCGAAGCTAGAGAAGCTCTTCGAGGTTGGAGCAAGGAAACGCCATTCTAGAATCACAGAGGAATCTGGGAATTCTGAACGTCCAAATAGTCTCTGAATTAGTTTTTCTCACTCATTTTTATGAACATGCAAACAGACATATGCTGCTGACTTAATCAGAAGTAGCTGATTAAAGATTATCTTTTCCAATTGTGCAGCCCTGAGAGCCTTATGCTGGCGCTTGGATTGGATTTGTTTGCTGTGAGTGATCAGAAATTCATGGCAATGTTTGTTGCACCTGGAGCAATTGATGCACTTGAGCACGAACGACTCTCTCTTTAGAAGCGTCAAAAAACACTGCATTCTTGTTTGAACGAGTTCAAAAATGTCGCCAAACCTCTCCATTGATGGATTTGCATTGGCTTCGTCACAAGACAAACGACGAAAACTCTTCTTTCTCACATCTGTCGATGCTCAAAGCTCTACGGGTATCTTAGATTTTCTATGGGAGTGGCCTTCTTTCACTAATGTAAGCACCATCACTTCCATTGATTCCATCAAAATTTCAGTTCTTAGGGTTATGTTGATCATGTTACCACAATTGTTAGTAGAGAGTCAGTCGATTTCTATTCTTCCAATACCATTGTTACTTTTTTGTGGGAAAAAAGTTGTTCACAACTACAGACCTTTTACCTCCGAGTGAGTGAAGTGGGTTCGGTACAAAAGATTAATTGTATAAAAAAAGCTCACGTTGAACCTTTATATAAAATTGTCAATTCTATTGAATAATGTAACTTATAAAAGGTCCAACAAAAAATGAATGAGTTGAAAATAAGTCACAACTGAATGGATAGATCGAGTTCAAATCGACCTAACATGGAATTCAATAACATGAAAGCCTCCTACAAAAGCAAAAAAAAGTCAAATGTGTTACCTAATTTTTCATTCCTGTCAAACTTATGTTACCACATAAAATATTTAATTAAAATAATTTTTATAATATATTCAATTGAATAAAATTTAAAAATAATAATAATCTGACAGCTATGTATCAGCACGCCCAGTGAGAACTGAGAACTGTCCATTGAATCTTGTAAAGTTGATTAAAGTGGTCCCCATTTATCCCATCATTGTTGTCCATAAAATAATTGTTTATAATTAATAAGTTTTTAATTAATAATCTCAGCTTAAGTTAAAATATAGTCACTTAAGCTTATCTTAAAATATTATTTCAGTGACTGCTGGGGACAGTACCAACACTATGTTTGGGGAAAATTCGTGGGTGGTCATCCAACTTATAGGTTTGTCTCGTATTGGTCATCTAACTTTGATGTGTTTCGATTTGATAATCGAACTTATATTTACAAAAAAAATTTAGTGTATATCTATTGCTAAAACTAATAGAATTAGTAACCTGGCTTGTGGAATTCGTTACCCAATTTATGCTTTTGGTAACTCGATATTTCTTCTGTACGAAAAACTGTGCTGCCGAATTCAACCCCTTTGTGTTTATGTGAATGAATTTTTATGCCGGTTAATGAAATGTACATTAGTCCTGTTCTGTAATCGAGATGATGAATTCCCTTGATATGGTCATTCCGTCAGTTTTGGTAACGGTTACAAACAAAATGGTCAAATTGAGACTAAAATATAGGTTAATTGATTACTTTGAAGGGTGATCAAGTTGGAACAAATTTAAAATTAGGTGACCAACATAAAACAAACATGTTAGTTACGTGTCATCTAATGAAATTTCATGGTCATGTGCTTGTTTGGATAAAATTATAACTTGATAGAAATGATTGGTGAATAAGTGAAGAAATTAAATTACAGAATAATAATAATATTTCCAGTAGTAAGAGTAAAGTCTTATAAAGTTGTAGACTGGGTGGTTCGATTCGAATAAAAGGGTAACGTTGAAATTAAAAAATAAAGTCCTTGTTCGATTCAGCTATAAATTTGATTAAAAATTAAATTATAATCAACAATTAATTTTTATCTTTTATTTCATGAAATTCATAATTTTTTAATCACGTTCTCATCAATTTTTAGTAAAGATTTGATGATTGAAAATAAAATAATTGAATAATCTCTATTCAAAGAAAGAGGTAAGAAAGTCAAAAGTAAAAGCGTACAACCCTGACTTTGTGACATAATCCAATCACAGAAAAAACATTGAATTTAGAAATTGGCATCTTCATTTTTCAAGGTACAGTCACCCATAGCATAGCATCAGGAGCACTAGATTTTTTGTCTTCTAATTTATCCTTTAATCATCTGACTTCCGGGTCGGTTTTCAATGAAAATTTGCAGCTGAGATCCCAAGTCTTTTAAACAGTGCAGATAGGTTCAAACCTTTCCAAATCATAGTACCATTCATTTACAAGAACCAAATTGCAGCCCACATCATAGAGATTTGATTCTAAACCTTTTCTGTAATTAGGTTCTTGCAAAAGGATTGTGAAGGGATGGTGAGGCGCCCTACCGGTGGTGGCTCTGCTATGGTGGATGGTGGGGTGGGTTTGGAGAAAAATATATTTTTCTGAATTAATTTTCTAACTTGGTGGTGGGTGGGTAAGTGAGCTTGAAAGTGAAAGATAAAAAGTTTACTTTGTTAACGTATATTTAATTATTTTAAATGGGATTTGTTTGTATTTTTTGAAAAGTTAAAGAACTTCATTTGCAATTTTTTATTTTATTGCTTTCTTTTAATTTTGGCAATTTAAAGAGAAAGACAAATTCGTCATTTAATGGCAAAATAAAGGGATTGTCAAGTTTTGCTACATTAATCGAAAAATTGGGATGAATTATGCTTAAAAAAATGTTGATGATGGATTTGTTATATTATCCAAAGCTTGGGTACAAAAAGTGCAAATTTCCCTTTCAATTATGAGCATCCTCACTTCAACATCTTAACGATAAGTGATGTCATTGCACTAGTATCTCATTTTAAGAACTCGTTTGCTCTTTATGGAGTGGCTCTTTATTTCTCGAAGTGTCACCGCACATAAAAAGCAGGATCATACTTGGTGTACAACATGGATAACAATTTTGTTTACAGAACCGTTTAAACAAAAAATTATTTTTGCAGTCAACAGTTTTTTGTCAACACATTGTATTGTCGTCTGCATTGTCATCCTATGTTATACAAATAGCAAAATCCTAAAAAGTAATGACATTAATTCCACCAATGACCACCAAATTTTATATTACTCAATTTCATATAACGTTTCACTATGGTCACCAAACTTCTTTTCACCATTTTCATTAATTTTAAATGAGTAAAACAGTCACTTTGTATTATATATATATATATAATAATTTTGTTAATAAAATAAAATAAAAACTTACTTTTTAAAAAAAAATTACTTAAAAATAAAATAAAATAAAAAACTTATTTAAATTTTAAAAAAAAAATTACTTAAAAACTAAAATAAAATAAAACATTATATAAAAAAACATTTTTAAAATAAAATAAAATAAAAACTTATTTTTTTTTTTGTTAATGAAACGTTATATGAAATTGGGTAGTTATTGTGACACTAAGAGTGTGTTTGGTAGATATTAAAATTAGATTAAAATTGAAAAATTAGCAGTTATTGTTGACTTTTATTAGACGATGTGACCCAATAACGATTATATTTTCAATTTTAATTGAATTTTAATTCCTCCCAAACAAGCTCTAAATATAAAGTTAGATAGTCATTGGTGGATTTAACTGTTTCCCACTTACTGATCCAAAATTCATACGCGTTGGCCCACTGCTCGAGGCTCTATATTTTATGTCCCTTATTCTGATTGTCTTTTCTCCTTGTAAAAAAAAAAGTGAAAAAAACAAATATTCTAAATTTCAATCTCGCTTTCGAATGTCATGTAATAATGACAGCAAAATTGGTACCAACTTGTAGATGGAAAATTATAACCTTGTAATTAGGCACTTTTTGGACATATACGGTGGAATTTGGACCTTGAGGATTTATTGTTAGCAATAATGAAGTAGGATTTTACTTTTTCAACTAATAAATACTATTGTTTGAAAGTTTAAGTCAAGCCGGCCAACACATTAAACTTTACTAAGCGTTTTGGTTTTTATCTATTTTTCGAGGTACGAGTTGGTCTATAACATTGAAAAATAAAAGCGTGTTTGAGAGCAATTTTTGTGGGATTTTAATCAAAATTATAGCCGTTATAGTCAATCTGTGGGCCCCACCTGTGAGAGAGAAAGTCAAAAATTGTGGCTGATTTGATAGTTAACGGCTAGAATTTTGATTAAAATCTCGATTAAAATTTCTCCCAAACAGGGCCTAAGGAAGTTTACAATATTTCGTTTAAGTTAGTCAATCTGTGGGCCCCACCTGTGAGAGAGAAAGTCAAAAATTGTGGCTGATTTGATAGTTAACGGCTAGAATTTTGATTAAAATCTTGATTAAAATTTCTCCCAAACAGGGCCTAAGGAAGTTTACAATATTTCGTTAAAGTCAACAAAATCAGTTCTTGGTAAAGTAAATATTTCAAATCGCATTCAAATTCTTACGTGTTACATTTTGTTTTTCGACTCGGTTGCTTCCTAGAGATTTAAAGTTGTGTGTTTTCATGGGGACCATGTAAAGAATTAACAAAGATTGGACCGTTTAGAATTGATTGTGCAACAATAAAAATAGTGGTGACCAGAATGATACTAGGGTAATAGATTGAGGACCAATTGTGCAATGTTGGCATAAAAGGATTGAGGTTGGAGAAAAGAGGAGAGAGAAAAATTGAACATATTTGAGAAGCATACAAGAACTAAAAACTTTTCCAATTCTTCAAATTTAAAAGTAAAGATCAATGAACATCCCACGTGTATACGATACAAAACAACTTATCGAAATTGTTGTTATCGAAATTCTGACAAATTTGGAAATCCGAATTATTGAAAAAGAAAAAAAAAATCATTTTTATTGGAATTTGCTCGTTCGTTTTTACTACTTTAACTTATTTTCTCACTGTAGTTTCGACTCTACCTTTTCGGAGTTCATTCTCCGACTACTAATCATTCCTTAAAAAGTTATTACCTCACTAACTAGCTAGTTAAACGCAAACTCCTACTCGGACGAATTCCTCGTTTGATTTGTCATAATTGAAAAAATTATGATTAGTCAAAAAAATTGAACCGTTTGTTTTTATATAGGAGAATGGGCATAATGGATGTAGAATGTCAGTGGCTTGTAAATTTATTATAAAATTTTATGGGCGCTGTTGACACGTAACTTTGCTTTTTTAACGATGATCATTCCATGTCGACTTCTTGCGTGAGCATTGACATGGGCTCCGTTGATGAGCTCGAGGCTTCTAGCGTCGTA